GAAGCTTATATTCTCTTTTGACTACTAGTAAATCTCAACATTATGGGGGATAATGGAAACTCTATACCCCAAAATTTAAAACTAAGTAAGTGGGTTTTATCCATCCTTACTATGACTTTTCCTTTAAAGAATGACCTGTATATTTAGACTAGAGGCCTGGTGCACAACATTCATGCACTGGGGGGTGGAGGGGTAGTAAGGAGGTGTCCCTCAGCCTGGCCTGCGCCCTCTCTCAGTCCAGGACCCCTCGGGGGAGTCCGCCACCAGGGGGAAGCTCCTGTGTTGAGCATCTGCTCCCTGGTAGTCAGTTGTGCATATCATAGCGACCAGTTGTTCCACAGTTTAATTAATTTGCATATTAGGGTTTTATTATATAGGATAAGTGCTATTGATAAGAAAAAAAGGAGTAACATAATTTTGGTTACGAAGTAAATGCATCCACTTTTCAACTGACATTCAAGACCCAAATTAATGACCTAACAACCAAAATTGAGGGAAGTAGCTAAAGAAATAATGAATACACAAAAGAATTTGAAGAAGCATAGTGTAGAAAAACCACCATAGAATTTGGAGTTAAAAAACTCAAATGCAAGAATCCGTTTCTGAGGACCTGGGCAAATCATGATTTTATCTCTTAAATGGGACCAATATTTATCTACTTTACATAGTTGTTTGTGAGGATAAAATTGATTAATAGATGTAAAATTGCCTTACAAAGTACTGCATAAATGTTAGTTATTATTAGGCTATGTAAAATGAAGAGCTATTGAAGATAGCAGATCAACAAAATGAAAAAGAACACATATGGAAAAAACACAAAACCAGAAGAACTTACATTTCTCCAATGGAACTGGACAATCTTCTCATGTGCACTAAAAGAGCAATCTACTTCCGGACACTGTAAAAAGTAAACAAAAAAGATTATTTAATGTTTTCTATGTTAAATATATCCATTACTACATATACAGACGTCTTCTAGTCATATTACATAGTTATCCCATCTATATGGTGCTGTCACTCATAGCAAAACAAAGATCACTTCAGAACAGAGTTATTTAAAAAGAAATGACAGCCCTAGCTGGTTTTGCTCAGTGGATAGTGTCGGCCTGTGGACTAAAAGATCCCAGGTTCGATTCCAGTCAAGGGCACATGCCCAAGTTGTGGGCTCGATCCCCAGGAGGGGGCGTGCAGGAGGCAGCCAATCAATGATTCTCTCATCATTGATGTTTCTGTCTCTCTCTTTCTCCTTTCCTCTCTAAAATCAATAAAAATATACTTTTAAAAAGAAATGACATTTTCAAAGTACAGTATAGTAATGCGTATTATTTACTTTATTCCTAAAAGTGAGGGGCATTTCTATAACCTCAAAGAGAATCTTTTCCAAACTAAGAACTTTCTCTTTAATTTTGCTTCTCAAATATTCTGGTTAAAAAAAATGTTAAGTACTTAATAAGGTCCAGACCATCCTTAGAGTGTGATGGGCCAGGGCAAATTAGAGTGTGATGAATGGTCAAGGGCAGCCTTAAAAGGAAAAGAACTTACAAAGGTGCACAGAGCAACTGGAGGGGAGAACCAGCCCTCTTACAAGGCAGAGGCTCCCACACATACTGACAGCTGCCAGACGGCCTTCCTTACCTCTTCCTGAAGCAGTGGGCTCTCACCCTCAAACTGCAAATCCCAAGGTCACTGTCCCAATTTGTCAGGTCATCAAACATTTCTATTAACTATAAGCTTTTAAGGAATAGAAGCACAGAATTTCTACCAAATAATACCCATTTTGTTAAAATTATTTCAGGATAGCCTAGCTGGCATGGCTCAGCGGTTGAGCATCAACCTATGAACCAAGAGGTCACAGTCCAATTCCTGGTCGGGCCACATGACAGGGTTGCAGGCTTGATCCCCAGTCGGGGGCATGCAGGAGGCAGCCAATCGTTGATTCTCTCTCATCATTTATGTTTCTATCTCTCTCACCCTTTCCCTTCCTCTGAAATCAATAAAAAAAACCCAAACACCTACCTTCGTATGTTCAGACATGTGTTTATCATACTTTTCTTGATTTTTGAAACCACGATCACAGGTATCACAAAAATAGTGGAAAACTGGTTCTTTTCTTTTCTGCAAACGAAAATGAAGAGGCATTAGGCTTTAGATGAAAAATCTTTCATCGGTAATAAAAACAGAACTATCCTTCTAGAAATACATACTTTGATTTTTCACATAACCTTTATACAAGGAAGAGACTCCTGAATATACTACTAATAAACGGATAATGCTGTTTCTTTTCTTTTAAGCAAAGATATTAGGACAAGGCAGGCACAACAAAAAATTTAAATCTGAGTAGAGCTAATATAAACAGTGAATAGCCTTAGTTGGTTTGGCTCAGTGGATAGAGCGTCGGCCTATGGATAGAAGGGTCCCAGGTTTGATTCCAGTCAAGGGCACATGCCCGGGTTATGGTCTCAATCCCCAGTAGGGGGCATGCAGGAGGCAGCCAATCAATGATTCTCTCTCATCATTGATGTTTCTATCTCTCTCTCCCTCTCTCTTATCAGTAAGAAAAGAAAAAGTGAATAGCTTACAAAGTGGTAACCTAATTAAGACTTAATAGAGCATATATCAAGATGATCTAGAAATAAGTATTTAGTGTAAAAAAACAGCATTTCATCTTTTAGAAAAAAAATCATATGTTTAAAACTACAGTAGGGGAAAAGAGAATTATTTAGGTAAAGATTAGTTATTTTTTATACCAATTTTTCTATTTTATACTTAAATATAAAACAAAAAATTACAATGAGAAACTCTATAGGAAATATTTCATGTTGAGATGTTAATAAGTATAGTATAGTTTTTTACAATATTTTTTTAATATTAGCTACATATTTTCATGCCAAAATAAAGAATCTTATTCAACTAACAACATTATTTATATACTTTAGAAGTTGAACGGCCAGATTGTAAACATCATAATAAAGCAAGCCCATTTTAAGACTTGGTTTCTGAACATAACCAAGAGTTGTTCCTCCTTAAAAAACATTCAAAAGATTTTTAATTCCATCACCCCTACTAATCTTCTAGTAATATTCATATATAATTTATATATTATATGTTTTACTTCATTGAGGTTTAATAACATTTACATTTATCTATAATCCTAATTCTCTATAATACTCCTGACACTATAATGAAATGAATTCAATATTTCCTTTATCTATAATTTTTTCATTTATTTCTCAAAAAGATTTCGCTTGAAATTTTTACTTAAGCTAAGATCCTTAAAGATCTTATTATAGCAAGGCTCCACTGTGTCAATAATGGGTGCAAAACACTAAGAGAGTTATGATAGAAGCACAGATATGGAAGAGTAACATAGGGACCAAAGTGTTACATTCAAGAACATTTTTAAAAATACCTTTTTTTTATGTTTTCTACTGGGAGGGAAGTTGAAGTCAGTAAACTTTGCATCATATTGTTGTGGAAAATAAGAATGTTTAACTGAAAAACAAAAAGAGATCCATAAATGTTTGCAACAAAAGAATTATTTAAAATTGTATTTGCTGTAGCATGTCACAAATACTTGAGTAAAAAAGTGGTAAACTGCACCTTCTAAGAATAGTAGTTTGAACAAATTATCAAAGATTAAGACTAGTCTATCAAATAAACATTTTTCCAATTAATACATGGTGGCAAGATGAAGTGTCCAGAAATGCTTTCGGCATCTAAGCAATGGGAAAGCTAATCTGATAAAATTCAGATTATTTCAAACATTATGTGCAATAATGTAGTTATTTCAAACATTAGAAATGTAAACAGTAAAAACCCTTTTACAGCTCTTTCAACATCAATTTTACACCAGAAAACAACCTCGTGAAATACTTTTTCTCCTAAATTCTTTTCCTTCCCTATGGCCATGACCCAACTCTGAAGCTCTGATCTTTCACCCAGATTACTGTAACAGCCTCCCAAGTTGTTTGCCAGTTTCTTCCAACAGACCCTGCACACTGACACCACAAAAAACAATCCTCCAATCATCACAACTCTACTCAAAATCTGCACATGGCTCCCTAGAGGCCTTCATGAGATCCTGGTATATTTTCTCACTCTTTACTCTGCCTCAGTCACACTAGAACACTGTAATCTTCAGAACTCTCTTTGTACTGACACCTCTTTGCCTCTGCCTTAAAAGTATCTCTTCCTAAACATCTCCCAAGACATTTCTTCCAAAAGCTGTTCCCAAAGCCTCAACACTCAGAAATCATCTTTTATATGCCTCTATCACCAGTCACACCGTATTGTGATTTACATTTATGAACCATCTCACCTGACTTAGGACTGCATTAGGCACACTGATATTCCTAGCATTTGGCACAGAATAAACACTGATTTAGATTCAGTGTAATGTAAAAGGAAGTTTATGCAGAGTTGGAGAATAGTGAACAATATCATGTCTTTAAATATGATCTGTATGCTGATGACACCTAAATTTACAACTCCAGCCACAAATCTCCCCTGAAAGTACTAAATAGCTAACAGCCTATTCGACATCTCTACTTGACACACATATTTCTAACTCACTCCTGATCTGCTCTCCAAATCAGCTCTCTCCACATCCTCTTTAGTTGCTTGGCAAAAAAACTATTAAGTTATTCGTATTTCTTTATCTACAGCAAATGGTTTTGGTCCTACTCTACCTTCAAAATATACCTAGATTAGAATCACCTCCAGAGCCCCACCCTAAGCCCCACCCTGGTCCAAGTCCCCAATATCTCTCACCTGGAAAACTGCAATAACATCCTAACTGGCCTCCCTTTCATTCGATTCCGATTGGTAGTCACATTAACCCTTTAAAAATATAGATCAAATCATGTCACTATCCATATCACAACAGTAAAAATCCAAGTCCCATCAACTACAAAGCCCTCACAGATCTGTCCTATCCCGCAATTTTCTACAATTCTACACCAGGCTCATTCCTCTTTAGACACACGGATCTGTACAGCTCCTGCCTCAAGGCCTTTGCAGTCGCTGTTGGTCCCACCGGTATCCCTATTCCCCCAGAAGTACCCCCGGTCTGATCCTTCGCCTCCTTGACGTCTTTTCACAAATGTCACCTTCCTTAGGACTGACATTTAAAACTGCACTACCTATCCGTCTTTTCTTTTTCTCCCTCCGTAGCACTCACTGCCTTCAAACACACCTTCATTTTGTCTGTTTTCCTACACCAGATGTTTCCTACCACATTCCCAGTTCCCGATACATAGCTGGAACTCCCTAACTAACCGCTCAATTGAATGAAAGGGCAAGGAAAACATTCCTGTCGGACCAATTGTGAGACGTGAGTGATCAGACTCCCACGAGTGCAGTGCAAAATCAGAAGGGGCGGGGAAGGCAGGAAAATTGAAGAGGGAAAAAGGGGAGAAGGGGGGGTAAGGGAGGGGCTGTCTTGGGGGAAGCAGCAGCCTACCCGGGGTGTGGTGGGATGTCTGATGCGGAGGGAAACTGCTAGGAGGCGGTCTCCAGTGCCAAGATGTCGAAGCCTGGAAACTCCAGGAAGGCTGGCCGCTGATCTGAGGCTGAGCATCAAGGCGGGACTGGGTGTCGAAGAGGGTCTGAGTCCCGGGAAGAACCGGGACATCGAAGCGCGGAGGCGCCTCGGGGAGCGCCTGGGTGTCCGTGGGGGGCTGCGTATCCGAGCCGGGCTCCGACCCCGCGGCGGGAGGCGGCGACGACGGCGGCGGTGGCGGCGGCAACATGGCCCAGAGCATCCACTTGTGCTGCAGCGAGACTGGGTCGCTCAGAGGCCCCAGCGTGGGGATCCGCTCCGGGGCCGAAAACCACCCCGCGGGAGTCACGAACCCGCTCGCCGGCTCAGCCATGCCACCTCCAGACTGGGAGCCCAGCGTGCGAATTGGCGCCGGCCTCACGTCACTTCCGTCATCGCGAGTTACGCGGCTCAGCCAACCGCAAGCTGAGACGTCATCGGTCCGCGCCGGGAAAGCTTCCTGCATCTGCGAAGGACCGCAGGCTGGGTAGGAGGAAGGCTTGACTCCGTGTACATAGACTTGCCAGCGGGATCGGTACCGGCCACCGCGCATGGCGAGGGATCTGATCGGGCCGGCACTGCCGCCCGGCTTCAAGGCCCTCGGGGCCGCGGGGGACGAGGAGCGGGACCCCAGCCCCGGTAAGCTGCGGACAAGGAACGGGACCCCCTTCCCTGCCCGCCCAGCGGTCTGAGTGCCAGTCAGGCCTGGAGAGCGGGGAAGTGGGCAGTGGGGTGTGGGCGACCCGACCTGACTTTGCTTCCCAAGCCGTGCCAGTGGGGGAAGGAGGCGTGGGGGCTCGGAATCGAGTTTCGATCTGGTAGTTATTATAATAGGACGCCTTGCGAAACTACCAATACACATTCAGTCCGTTAATCCTCATAGCAACTCTGTAAATTAGAGATTGTTCTTGCTGTCGAGGAAAGAACGTGTCCAAATTTACAGAAAATTTTTGTGGAAATCGATATTTTTATTGATTTCAGAGAGAGGAAGGGAGCGGGATACAGAGATTAGAAACATCAGTGATGAGAGAGGTCATTGATCGGCTGCCTCCTGCACGTCCCCCACTGGAGACCGAGCCCAGGGATCTGACTGACCCGTGATCTCCCAGTTCATGGGGTCGAGGCTCAACCACTGAGCCACAGCGGCGGGGCTATTTAAGCCAAATCTTTGTGGACATGCCCCGAATAAAGATCTGAACGGGTTGAGAAAATGCTGTAAAGAATGGCAAAAGCAAAGTGAAGAAACACTTTTACATTGGTGTGTACAGGATAGTCACTTAAAATTTATAGTACATGGTATGCAACAAGATAACAATGAGGGCTCCAGTGTCCTCTGGTGGTCCTGTGCTCTGGTGCCTGCAATGGTGCCTTTGAGGGGTCTAGAAAATTATGCTATCATTTCAAAAGTATGTTATCCTACATGCATAAGAACAATGGACAGGGCTCACTTAGGGTGAAGATTAACTTTCCTAAGGAAGCTATAGGCCTGGGGTGTGACTACCTTCTATGAGCTGCCCAGTAGGAATTTGTGATCAGACCTGCCACGTGGCCCACAGTGACCTTGTCAGTGTTATTACAGAGCCCCCCTTTTTGTACCCATTCCCATGTGACAGTTGGGGACACTGAGGCTCAGGCTGTTACCTAGATCACACAGCTAGTCAGTGGTGGAGCCCTATTTAGAATGAAACCAGGACTCTGTGTCTTACTGCCTTCTGATATACAGTGTCTCCAGCTCTTGGAGAAGATGCTGTGCTCTCTAGCCTCACCATCCATCCTAGCTTCTACTTCTGTCATTGCATCTCACACATGGCCCAGTGCTCAAACTAGTTAGAGTTTCTGGCAGTTCCTCAATTCTCTAATCTCCTTCTGGCTTCACTCTGCATTTGGCATACCTGACAAACTCCTACCTCATCCTTTAAATGTCACCTCAGTGAAGGCTTTCCCAAACTCTCCCAAGCGTTGTCATGCCTTCTTTACTCATGGTTTTTTTCTCCTACTTAAATACATCATGTATTTAACACATTGTTTTTGAATAACTGGTTGGCTTATCTGTCTCCGCCATTGCACTAGAGCCTTCTGGCCTTAACATAGTAGCACTTTGTATTTGCCAAGTAAGTGCTTTTCAGACTCCACCATGCATATCTATCTCCTTTAACGTTTGCTCTAATTCGTAGAATGATTCTGACACTAAAGTTGGAAAAGAATAAAGCCAAAAGATTAACTCTCCCATTTCTCGATCTAATTTTTGTTCTTGGACTACCCGGAGGCCATGTTTCCACCTAGAGTAGCGACATTCAACCTTTTTCATCTCATAATTGTTGGGTCACTGGATATGCATATATTCATTCATCTTTAGTAGATTCTACCAGTTTCCAAAGTAGTACCAATTTACACTCCCACCAGCATATATGAGAATCCTCATTCCATATTCTCACTAATACTTGTATCTGGTTTTTAAATCTGATGATTTGTAGCAATATCTCATAGAGCTTTAATTTGTATTTTTCTGGTGACAGTAAAGTTGATCACCTTTTCATGGGTTTGGGTTTTTGTTTTTTGTTTTGTCATTTGTATATGTGTCAAGTCTTTTGCTCATTTTTTCTTTGAGTTGTTCCTTTTCTTACTGGTTTGTAGAGTTCTTTATATAGTCTGGACAAAAGTCATTTTTCAGCATGAATCTTTTTTCAGAGATGTGGTCTGCAAATATTTTCTCTAATTCTATGAGTTGGCTTTTGATCTCTCATTATGGTGAACATAAGTTCTTAATTTTCATATAGTCTGGTTTTCAATTTAATTTAAATTTTATTGAATTTATTGGGGTAATACTGGTTAACTAAATATCACAGATTTCAGGTGCACAGTTCTACCACCCATCATCATTGTGTGTTTAACACCCCAAGTCAAGTCTCTTCCCATCACCATTTATCCTCCTTATACCCCTCTGTACCTCCCCCCAGCAATCACTACACTGTTGTCTGTCCCCTTGATTTTTCTCTCTCTTTTTTTTCTTTTTTGGTCAATCCCTTCACCCAGCCCTGCAACCCCACCAAACCCCCATAGATGTCAGCCTGCTCTCTATGACTCTGTCACTATTTTCCTTGTTGCTTCATTTTGTTTATTAGATTCTACATTGAGTGCAATCATATGGTACCTGTCTTTCTCTGTCTTACTTCATTTAGCACAATGTTCTCCAGGTCTATCCATGCTGTTGCAAAGGGTAAGATTTTCTTTTTGTCGGCCAAGTAGTATTCCACTGTGTAAATGTACCACGGTTTTTTTATGCACTCATCTTCTGATGGACACTTGCACTGCTTCCAAATCTTGGCTACTGTAAATAATGCTGCAATGAACATAGGAGTGCATACATGGTATTATTTCAAGTTAGTGTTTTGGGTTTCTTTGGATAAGTTTCCGGAAGTGGAATCACTGGGCCATATGGCAATTCCATTTTTAATTTTTTGAGGTAACTCCATACTGCTTTCCACAGTGACTGCACCAGTCTGCATTCCTATCAACAGTGCACAACAGTTTCCTTTTCTTCCCATCATTGCTAACATTTGTTGTTTGTTGATATATTGACGATAGCCATTTTGACAAGTGTGAGGTGATATCCATTGTGGTTTTAATTTGCATGTCTCTGATGATTAGTGACATTGAGCATCTTTTCATATGCCTTTTGGCCATCTGTATGTTCTTTTTGGAGAAGTGTCTACTCTGGTCCTTTTTTAAAAAATATATTTTATTGATTTTTTTACAGGGAGGAAGGGAGATGGATAGAGAGTTAGAAACATTGATGAGAGAGAAACATCCATCAGCTGCCTCCTGCACACCCCCTACTGGGGATATGCCTGCAACCAAGGTACATGCCCTTGACCGGAATCGAACCTGGGACTCTTAAGTCCACAGGCCGACGCTCTAGGCTCTGAGCCAAACTGGTCAGGGCCTTTGCCCATTTCTTAATTAGATTGTTTGGGGGATTTTTGGTGTTAAGTAAGTTCCTTATAAATTTTGGATATTAAGTCCTAATCCGATATATCAATGAATATATTCTCCCCTTCAGTGGGTTGTCATTTCATTTTGTTGATGGTTTCCTTTGCTGTGCAAAACTTTTTAGTTTGATGTAGTCCCATTTGTTTATTCTTTTCTTTTTTTTTTTTTTTTTGCCCGAGGAGATATATCAGAGGAAATATTGCTATAAGGAATGTCCGAGATTTTACTGCCTGTCCTTTCTTCTAGGATTTTTATGGTTTTAAGTCTGTAGGCCATTTCGAATGTATTCTTGGGTATGGTGTCAAAAAATGGTCTAGTTTCATTTTTTTGCACGTATCTGTCCAGTATTTCCAACACCATTTATTGAATAGACTATCTTTACCCCATTGTATGTTTTTGCCTCTTTTGACAAACATTAATTGATTAGAAAAGTGTGGGTTTATTTCTAGGCTCTATTTTATTCCATTTATCTATATGTCTGTTTTTATGCCACTGCCATGCTGTTTTGATTACTATGGCTTTGTAGTATAGTTGATATCAGGGAGTGTGATTCCTCCATCTTTGTTCTTTCTCATGATTGCTGAGGCTATTTGGGGTCTTTTGTGTTTCCATATAAGGTTTTGGAGTATTTTTTCTAGTTCTGTGGAATACACCATTGATATCTTGATAGGAATTCATTGAATTTATAGATTGCTTTGAGAAGTAAGGATACCTATCCATGAACACGGTGTATGCTTCCACTTATCTGTATCTTCTCCCATTTCTTTCTTCAGTATCTTATAATTTTTCTAGTACAGGTCTTCTACATCCTTGGTTAATTTATTCACAGGTATTTTATTCTTTTTGAAGCAATTAAAAATGGGATTGTTTTCTGATAGTTTATTATTGGTGTACGAAAATACAACTGATTTTTTAAATACTTATTTTGTATTCTACTTTACTGAATTCAGTTCTAATAAGTTTTTGGTGGAATCTTTAGGGTTCTGTATATACAGTATCATGTCACCTGCAAATAATGACAGTTTTACTTCTTCCTCTCTAATTTGGATGCCTTTTATTTCTTCTTGTACAAAAAAAACAGGAGCAAATAAGATTAAAGTCCATAATAAAAGATAGCCAGCCAATGCTGTGAATTCAGAAAAGAAAGTATAGAATGTCAGCTGGGGCTTCATTGGAACAGTTGTGGCTAGTTATGACATACACGAGAAATCTTTAGTTGCAGGACCAGCTCTACCCCCTAATTATAAGAGCAGTAGTTCAGAGTCATCAGACAGCGATGAGAACAGTAATTCTTTGTACGGAGAAGGAAACCAAGAATCTGAAGAAGATGACACTGGTCCACCTGCAAGGTCAGTCACTTTCTTAATCCAAGCTTCAAACCTAGTATACATTGGCTG